ATCCTCCCCACCCCCCTCGCCATGTGCCCCGGCACCCGCACCCTCCCATCACAAACCTCCCCAATCCTCCCCTTCCCAATCAACGGCGGCGCCCACTCCGCCACCGCCGCCGGCGACCTCCCCATCTCCATCGCCCTCCTCCCCGAAATCATCTCCATCAGCACCACCCCGTAGCTGTACACGTCCACCTTCCACGTCAGCCCATCCGGCGTGGTGTACGCGGGGTCCATGTACCCAATCGTCCCCGCCGGGCGGGCCCCAGGCCCAACAGACGCCAGGCCGAAGTCCGCCAGCCTGGCGCCCCAAGCCTCGTCGAACAGTATGTTGGCGGGCTTGATGTCTCGGTGGGCCACGCCGGCCTCGTGGAGGGCCCGGAGGCCGCGGGCGACACGGAGGGCGATTTCGACCCGTTTTTCCCAGGAGGGTGGGTTGGGGGAGGAGTGGAGGAGGTCGTGGAGGGTGCCGTTGGGCATGTAGCGGGTGACGAGGATTGTGGTGTTGGAGAAGGGGTCGAGGGAGGTGCCGAGGAGGCCGACGAGGTAGGGGTTGTTGGGGGGTAGGGAGGAGAGGATGGTGGCCTCGTTGTCGATTTTTTTCTCGCCGAGGGCCGGGGATTGGGTTTTGATGGCGGCGGGAGTGCCGTCGTCGAGGAGGCCGCGGTAGACGCTGCCGTGGCTGCCTCGGCCGAGGAGGCAGGAAGGGGAGAAGTTGTCCGTGGCTCGTTCGAGTTCTTCGACCTCGAATATTTTGTGCATTTTCTCTTTTGGTTGTTGGGAGAGTTTGAAGTGTTCTTGTTTGTGGTGGTGATGAAGAGGGTCTATGAGGGAATAGTTAGTGTGTGTTTGTGTGTAAGAATGAATATTTATTTGCTTGCTTGTATGAAAATAGAGGAAAAGTGGGGAGGAGTGTGATAAGGAATCAAATCTTTTTTTAAATTTATGTTTTGTTTTTTCAAAAGAAAGATAAAGTGAAAGGGAATATGAAGGAAAAAGGCAAAGGTAGCTGATGAACTCAGATAATGTATTGCTCTATTAGCTGTTTTCTGGACCCAAATTTCACTTTTGACTTCAGATATTTTTCAATTAAAAAAAAAAAAAAAAAAAAANTGCCTATCCAGTGAGGTGGTGCCTGGTCCTGGTCAATTTTTGGGATGCTGATAGATTTAGAACCGTGTTCATGTACTTGAATAAATTTGATATCTTAGCAAAAAAGATAACGTTTGATCTGAATATTCATTCCTACTTATCTGTCTCTTTGTATAATTTTGCTATTATTATTATTTTTTAACTTATTATGTTTGCCTTTTCCCAGTCTTGAAGTCTCAAAGCTTGACTTCTTGTACCGAAAAAAAACAGCTTGACTTGTTCATTCAGTTGTTTTGGAAACCATCAGTTTTGTCTTAAGGGACATACCAATAAGAAAATAACAAAAGAGAATGTGAAGGAGTAAGTAGTTATGCATAACAACAAAAGGGAAATTCGATTTAGTAAAAGTGTCATGGGACACAGCATATCCAAACTTGTGGAATTGTCTTGTGGGTTTGGAACATTGTCCCTACGAACTTTAATCTAAAACTTAATGATGCTCAATTGCATGTTTAATTACGTGGAACAGCCCTAATGTAACTTTATCACTAGTGCAAAACACTACAACAAAGGTTTCAATTATTGCATTTAAAGTAATAATCAAATAAAAAGCTATCAAAACATCACAAGAGCAGTTGAAAGCATCAGCATCAAGCCCACCAAAAATAAGAACGGGTTACTATTATATTTAAAAAAATAACCCTTGGGTGATCAAATTTCAAAAAGGAAATCCGACCATTTTTAAACTTGCAAAATCACCACAAAGGCACGTTTCCATGTTATATTTTTTGACTTCTGAAATGGTATTGGACTAAAACTGCCGTCAATTGTGGGGGTTACTTAAAATTTCAAAAGTCAGCTTATTATTATTATTATTATTATTATTATTATTATTATTATTATTATTATTATTATTATCATCATCATCATCATCATCATCATTATTATTATTAAAATTTCAAGCCACAGGAATACTCATCATTATCACCATCATCATCATCACCCCGTATCGCGCTGCAATACCCATCGCGAGCAAGAGGCATCCAGGGCGTTGCGCCCACGACACCGTCGTGCCAGCGATAGTCGGGCCATCGCACCAACGAAAAGCAGGCAGTCACGGCCGTGATGGTTGTCGCGCCAACGATGTTTGGCGAGACTGGAGGATTGATTTACAAATTTCCTATTTATTTTGCTATGTTCAGTTATTTAGCGATTTTTAAAACCTTAGTTGCAATTTCTGTATTTTCCTTTCTTTAAAACTCTTGGTTTCTTCAATTGGATAACATATCAAATAAGAAGTTAAAAACCGCTCGTTCGAGAACTAAGGGGGGTGTATTCAATTCGGAATTTAAGTGACATTTTAAGACTTTTCGAGATTTGAGACTTTCTAGGATTTTCAGATTTTGGAAGAATTCTATGAAATCTCAAGTCCGGAGGTAAGATTTGAAGTGGGATTTCATATAAGGCTTTTTGTTTAGAAATCCCACTAAATCTTAAAAAGTCTTAATAAATCCTAGTGTCAAAAATTTAAACACCTCAGGATTTTGTAAGACTTTTGAAAATCCCAATTAAATACCCCAGAATTTTTAAAAGTTTTACAAAGTCTTAACAAATCTAAATTGAATACACTAGGATTTCTAAAGTCTTAAAAAGTCCTTAAAAATCCTAATTAAATACACCCCCTAAAACCGTGTGTTAACTAACGACCATTCAATGTAGGTTTTTACAAATTCGAGTAGTTTGATACACGATCTTGTGCTTTCATTGAGAGAATCGATCGTGTATCATCACGTCAAACAGGGAGAGGATTGATCGATTGGAAGAAAGCGTACATACGATGATGTACAATTAATCAATCAAGTGGTGGTCAGGATCGAGTGGATGCTGCTCCAAACCAACGGATGGCGAGCGCAGAGGGGCGAAGGCTCGGATCGTTCATCATACGAATTAACTGATTCGAAAAAGGAGCCCGAGTTTCATAACAAGTTCGCAGAGGACGATGATAATCGTTCACGGGACTCAAAGCACCGAGAAAGGCGCAAGAGCAGCGAGAGGTCGAAACTGAGTCTACCAACGTCTAACAGGATGGACTCAGATTCGTGGTTGAGCCGTGGTAATCAGTATTTCGAGATTATCGAAACACCGAAAGCAGAATAGGTTAAATTCGCCGCTTAATATTTGGATGGGGAGGCGAACGTGTGGTGGCAATAGATTTCGAGGGTTTACAAGAAAAAGGATACCTTGATCCATTGAAAAAAAATTGAAAAGGAGATGATTATGCAGCTTGGGTCGTCGGATTACCATGATTACGATGAAGCGNTAGTGGCGTTTATTGGGGTTTTAAATTTAGATTTGGCCTCTGAAGTGAAGTTGAAGAGACGAAAGATGGTGCGCGCAGCCATGGAGGCCGCACGCATACGAGAAGGCCACCTAGTAGTCGTGCGCAAGGCCAACCCGCCAGAGCTTCCATCAACACGCAGAGAGCCGAAAACGACACGCCGACATGAAACGCGAGGCAGATACCCACAAGAGTAAGGCGGTTCTTGGGACGAGATGCAGAAACGATGGGAGAAGGGTCTGTGCTTCAATTGTGACGAGAGATTTACGCCAGGCCATAGGCGCAAAGAGAAATAATCATTTTTCATTGAGTACGTGAAGTCTACGAAGGAAGACAAGAGGAAGATGAGCCCAAGTAGGACACAAATCATCACGAAGACGACCTCGAGATTTCGACTCATGCAATGGTTGGGACCCAGGGACCAAACACAATGAAGTTGTCGGCGTAGGTGCGGGATTACCGATTGGTGGTGTTAGTCTATGATGGTTCATCTCACAATTTCATTAATTCTTCTCTTTCCTATGAACAGAAGTTGTGACTAACGTAGATCCGTTTAACGTTAGAGTCCCTAATTCAGGTGCTCTGAATTCTTCTGGAGTGTACCCATTACACTGCAAGGCATGACAGCAAATGCCGATCTCTACGCATTGTCGTTGGTAGGACCGAATGTCGTATTGAAAGTTTAATGGTTGGAGGGATTAGGTCCGATCACGGCATATTATAGAGTCGGTTCAATGGAGTTTAGGGAGGGTGATAGTCTGGTCAAGTTAAAGGTCGGGGTTAACGACGGGGTTAAACGTAGAGAACATGCATACCACACCGTTCATCTCGTCCAACGAAAGCAAGGGCTGGAACGAGAGGCATGTCCTTGAAGAACGATTCGTATAATCACATATTGGTTATATGCGTCACGCGTATTTGAAAATATTCCTATCAACCAGGTTTCTTAAAGTACCATGATATCTGGACCTTCTTTTCATTGGCATGCACAGAAGTCGCCCGCCTTATTTCAGCGCATTTTGGATGAAGAAAATATTTTTTGTCTGAATGATACCACTTTTGTCGGGGTTGTTTTGCATGTGTTCATCCAGGTTTGGTGATGAAGGTCATAGATTTTTTAATATGATGACCTTACCCTTTGGGCTTGACACTGAGAGCTAGGGCGTAAATGTACAACCTTGTTCGTGCACATCTGCTAATTTCGCGATGTATACATGGCTTTTGCTACGAGATGATCGGATTATGAGGCTGGGCACACCTTTTGGAGGGAACACGAGCCAAGAGTGTTATTTGTCGAATTGTAGGTGTAACTTCCCACTTGCTTGATACGCGACATGGGACACGGGCCTGAGACGTTGGATTTTTTCTTGAGTCTGTCATGTAAGGCTAACCCTCAGACTGGGGGTGTGGACTATGACTAGCTTGAGGAGAAGGTATTGGATTTTTTGCCCAGATATTGATCTTTGATAGGAGCTCATATCCACGGGAGTGGGATTATAAGAGGTCTAGACAAATAACGGATAAGTATGGTATGGTGTTGTTGTGTGACATGGATCAGATTAGCGGTCTTGTAGCTTTAAAGGAGTGTGTGAGCCCTTTCGAATATTGTGACAATGTTACGCCCACAACCCATAAAAGCCTTTGGGGTCCGAGAGGAGGAATTATTTCTACAAGAGAATCTATAAGACATCCGTGATCAATTTTCGAACTTTATCCTTTAGGACAAGGATATACTCGAAGAGGGCGGGAATGATGAGAACTAGGCATGAACAAGCCTCGCGCCGCGAAGCCTCGCCAAGTCGCGAACCAGAGCCATACATGCAACCGCAACAGCAAGTCGTTACGCATCAACAGGCTTCGCACCCCAGTCCCCAGCATAAGAAGTCGTGCCCGCGAGCGCCTCGTCACAGCGCCCGTCGTGCCCCGTATCGCATCGCGATACCCATCGAGTAGACTCGGGCGCCCCTTATCGCTCCGCGATACCCATCGCGAGCAAACAAAGACTATCCGGGCCATCACGCCCGCAATGCGCGTCGCGCCAGCAACAAGCAGTTCGCTAGACTGGAGGGCTGATATACAAATTTCCTATTTATTTTGCTTTGTTCAGTCATTCAATTTCAATATTTTCCTTTAAAACTCTAGTGTTCTTCATTTGGATAACTTATCAAATAAGAAATCAAAAACCGCTCAATCGAGCACTAAAATTGTGTGTTAACCAACGACCTTTCAGTGTTGGTTTTCACAAATCTGAGTAGTTCAATACACGATCTTCATCATAGGCCATTACCGCACTTTCTCATATAGGAATTAGTATGTACATAAAATAAATAAAACCAGTTATAAAAACCGACGTATAAATAACTAGAGAAATAAGAACTACAAATATGGACGCATTTGACTGCCAATTTGCCATCCTATTCCCAAAATTGAAAGAACACATAAAAGAAAGTATGGCTCACGGCCATGGAAGCACAAGAAAGAATCACAAACACATTACTGCTCCCGATCATATATCAGGAAAAAAATAAATGCTAATATATTACAGTGTAAGAAACTCCAGCACTGAGAAAAAACATCAAGACCTCATTTTTATTTACTGTTTCTGCTTCTGTGTTTTTCACAGGTTGGTTTCAACAATAAATTCCTGGAGGACAATTTATTTCAAGAGCCTATAAGCTTCTTCCATCTGGCATAGGCCATCACGACAATAAACAGCACCACACAAGCGGCAGTCATGATCCAGACAACATCATCAAAAATACCCTTAATATTGTACAGTGTGCATGGAATATTCATACCAAATATCCCTGCCATAGCAGTTTCAACTGCTATGGCAAATGTTGCAATTGTCAATGTCAATTGGAGCTGAATGAGCTCATTTCTTTGGTTGTCGAGTTGGATGTTGACATAATCCTCCGTGTCATCAATGTATTCGCGAACCTAGTATACAAAATAACAGCAATATCTAATATTGTTTAAGTGTTTACATGACTATTTTGTTGGGATGGTGTGGGGAAGAGCAAAATATTATATATAAATAGCTAATTATTCAAATACTACCCCTAAGGGTTACCTTAATGCCATTTCTTTATTTTATAAAAGAAAAAGTTATCTTTAAAAAATGCAATTCTCCTCTGGCAAATTTTCATATTTAAGGCTTGCAACTGTACTGAAATAGGTTGTTTGTACTAACTGCAAACCATGTGTGGAGGCCGTTGTGAAACTATGGAAGTTCTGAGTAATTCTCAAAGGTTCTAGATCTGTTTGTAGGAATGGTATATGTCAAGGGCATTTTTTTGTAAATTCTCAATTTATATACACATTTATAGACCCTTAGTTCATGTAGTCCCTCAAATGGGATCTACTATAAGAAAAGACAAACCAAAGAGGGGTAAGAGGAGAGATAGGGTGGTGGTTTAGCTTTGTTCCTTCATAATCAAACAAAAGGAAGGGGGAATAAGTGGGCTATTACTATAACACAAGGAAAGCTAGATGGATCAAGAAAGAGAAAGATGCCTCTGCTTAGGTGGGAAAAGATGAAGAGAAATACTTACAGATAGTATTTTGTTACGTGTACCATCCAATTGCATGAAGTAGGCTTCGAGCAACATCTCTAGGTCCTCCACATCGTCATTGTCATTTTGATGGTAGTTGCTCAAGAGACTGCCACTTTTGGTGGAGCTGAGCCGGCGGAAATGGGCTGGTCCAGCAGGGACTATGCTGTTTGATGGGGGGTCCGCATATTGGGCCTCGAATTGTTGGTTTTGTTGTATCCATTTCCGTGTTAAGTAGAGCTGGGCCATGTCTTCATTGTCGTCTAAAAGATGCTCTATTTCATCTCTAACCTATCATCCCAAAGATATGGAGTTTTCACCATGTTTCAGTAAGGTATAATGACATACTCAAATGAGAATTTTCTAATGAATACAAAATTTACTACTAATTAGACATATCCATATTTCAAAGAAAAGACGCAAGCGTATATATTTATATACATAGCATTCATAAACTCTTTCTACAACTTTTATTCCTTTCTTTTTTAACATTTTCAAGGTGCATACATGGAAAAATGTTTACTCCTAATAAACTATAAGACATATCTTTAGCTTAAAGAAACCTAATGATATGTACCTAGCACCCATAAACTCTTCTAAGATTTATTTCTCATTATTTTTTTATTGAAGTTTTTCAGTTACCAAAAATTAGTTCCATTTATAAGTACCGGACAAGACGTTTCATTTTTCCTCTCTTTGAAACTTTGGAGACACTAACTGCCTAACCTCTCTCTCGATTACATGTACGATAAGAATCTGAATATCCCTTATTCAGTTTGACATAAGAACTTATGCATTAATCAAAGAATCTGATTGTTCGATTCATAAAGCGAACACCATAAACTAAGAAAGATGCATCAAAGAACTAGAACTTTTAAGGTCATATTCCATCCAGCTTCAATGACTTTCAGTCAAAATGAAGTTACGGTTCAACTATTCTTCAGAACTTGACCAAAAGAAGTTAGTGGTAGGGAGAGAATAAGAATCACTCGAAATGATTAGCAGTACTTTCAATAAGAAGATGATAACAGATGGATAAAAATTGCTTTGGCAATATAAACAAGCTCCACAAAATATATTTGTAATAGTGACATTCCAACAACCCAACACTGGATACCTGTTAGAAAATCATGCCTAGAAAACCATATTGTTTGTCATCAGACAACGTTTTAAACTCACACAACATTACGATCAAGTATCAATTATCAATCGACTAATAATAGTGGAAGACACATAATTGCCTCATAATAGCTTCGTGTTCGGGAACCCCTGCTGACATATACTATGCAACCACTGAAATTATATCCACACAATATATTGGTTAAAAATCACACCAAACACCTAATATTACATTTAAGGTGACATATGACACGAAAAGGCATTCTTCAACAAGTTATCAAATCAAAATATATTTGATAAGAACAAAGCATTATTCAAAATGGGAAATTAGACAAGGGCATACAGAAAACACCCATTTGCATGGAGTTGCCTCTTCTTGATTTAAATGTCTAACAGAAACTCCAAAGACTATTATCAGGCAATATCTATAACCCTAACCATAGAATATATTTTCATGCGGGAACAATGGAAGAACAAACATCTTTACCTTTTGTACCCGTGCAAGCAAACGAGTGAGGTTGATTTTCAAGCTCCGCACATGCTCAAGATTTTTGGTGCTAACACTTATGGCCAATTCATCCAGAGCAGGGTAAGCATCTCTCTCGAGTTCAGCAACGTTAGAGTCCAAATACGTGCAGACAACCTCTAATGCCATTTCCAGGACCTGGAACTCGAAAGGAAGCTCATCCTGCTCACCTTCACCGCCTTCAGGAACAGGTAACCATTGTGCAGCAGTAGGAGAATGAATTTCATTATCTTTAGGAACCGTTTGGTCTGCCACATAATTAGTTGGACTTTTCTGTGGCAACAGTCGCCTCAACTGATCAACAAATGGCAGAACCTCCTGGCGAAGAGGATCAAGTAACAATACTTCTTCTGCAGTAACTATCGCTCTTATGAATTCTAAGTTAACAATCATGGCTTTTTCCCTAGCTGCATAAGCAAATGAGAAGATAATATCAAAGTTGGGCCAAAATACAAACTAACCACCGTTCATTAATAAATTCTTCAATACACAAGATTTCCATTAATCTTTTCTTGTTGAAAAAATGAAATAAAAGGTATAGGAAGTACTCAGAAATCTTCTATACTGAATTATCTATATCCAGAAATAAGAAATCATTTCCATAAAAATAAAGCACACAATTCATGTCACCAAATTAAGCAAGATAAAGGACAATTTTACAGAAGAAAGGCATAAATAAGCACTAAAATCCTGGAAATGACTGAGTAAGCCACTCCACAACCCGTTCCACGACTTCAGAGACAAACACGCGCTTCCGATTGCGCGACCCCGAAACAAAAAAACCCAAAAAAGAAAGAGAAAGAAGAGAAATTGGGGGTTTTTACCAAGGATGCTAGAGGAATGGGAGAAAATGGGCCCGAGAATTCGCAAGTCCCTGGCGGGAATCGAGACGCGCTTAATAATAAAGTTCTTGTCGCATTCCATCAGCTCGGACTGCCCTAACCGATCCATGGTCATCCAGAGCCTCGACCCGCCCGCTTTCTTCTTCACGGCCACCTTGCTCGTCGTCGCCGCCAACTCGACCGACGGCGGGGTAGGAAGAGGAGGCAACTGCGTCGGCGGCGCGGCCTTCTTTCTCCGCCGGAGAGTCAATTTGCCCATCTCCTCTCGCACTAGCCCCTAATGCTGCGCCCCCGCCGCGGAAGTAAAAGTACAAGAATTACACGTATATGTGAGCGTGTGCGGAGAGAATTTCCTCTTCGGAATCCTCGTTTTCTTCCATATAATTACAGAGAGGTCCCCCTGTCGCTGGTCGACGAGTATTTGAGAGTTTTGGGAAAGGTGAGAAATCCTCTGTGTGTCAGCCTAAGCTGAATAATTTGTTACATTCGAATTTCAAATAAAATCTTTCACTTTTTTTCTAATTGCAAATAAAACTCAATTTTTTTAATTTGGTAAAAAAATATCAAACTTTTAATAAGTGTTATTGTGTCTCAATCACATTCCGCCGTCGCCGGACCGCCACCAACCGCCACACACCGCCGGCCAACTTCGCTGAACATTGAAAAATTTTACATAATCTTGTAGCTCTCCTCCGTGCCGACAACATATCCGAGTTTCACAAAAAAATTTCGACAATAAGGAGATGACCGAAAAAGTCGTCACCCAAAAAAGTCACCGGTTCCGGCGAAGGTGGACGTCACTAAATGCGGCTATGCTAGAGGAGTTCAACGGTACCTTCAGATTCACATGGGTCAAAGCGAGTCACCGGAAATTTGTGAAAGAACACCGGAGAAAATTTGTAAATCTACGAGCTTTGATCGAAAAATTGGAAGCCTTATTGTCGGAATTTTTTCGTGAAACTCGGATATGTTATCGGCACGGAGGAGAACTACAAGATCATGTAAAAATTTTCAACATTCGGCGAAGTTGGCCGGCGGCAGGTGGCGGCGGTCCGACAGCGGCGGAAGGTGATTGAGACATAATTGCAACACTTATTAAAGGTTTGATATTTTTTTGTCAAATTAAAAAATTGAATTTTATTTGCAATTAGACAAAAAGTTAAGATTTTTATTTGCAATTAACCCTTCTTAATATAATGTTAAAAACAATTTCGTTATTATAACACATTTAGGAAACCATTTTCCTTTAAACCTTTTTTAAAACTTTAGTTAAAATATAAATATTTATAATTAAACATGTAAAAGTTACAAAATATGAATATATTATTGAAAGGTGTATTTAATATAATTTTTTTAATAAAATACTCATTATGGCAACAAAAAAGATTATATTATGAAACTAAATGCTATATAGACAACAATAGTTGATTTGTATAGGTTGATATTGCTCTCGACATGGTAGTATAAGTACACAAATACAAATACAAATTTGTGTAACATAATTTCACTATAAATAGTTTGAAATTGGTCTAAACCGGCTGGTTCGACTAGTTTAACCAGGAACCGATCAATCGGAAACGGTACCTACAGTTTTACACATTGGCATATTCTGACTTCTTCCCTGAAAACAGTCCATTGACATTTTACACATTGGCATATTCTGACTTCTTCACTGAAAACAGTCCATTGACACAAGTGCTGACATTGCAGATAATACGAGAAGTTCACATGTCACGCAGACGGTAGACTCAAGTGCTGTCTCGTACTTGAGAGATGACAGAATGTTCCATTTCACCGCGAAAGTCATCAGATAGAATGTTGCATTTCAAGCCTGAAAGCAGCAAGTCCCTGGAATATCTGGAATGGCTTAAGATAGAATGTGGCATTTGAAGCCTGAAAGCACTAAGTCCCTGGAATATCTAGAATGTGCCATTCCACAGCGAAAGTAGTAAGTTCCTACACGAACTCTCAACCCTTATTGGCACCAGAATTAAGGTTCCGTTTGTTGAAAATCACCAAATTACCACTCCCTAGAATCCTGCTCTCTGAAGAACAAAAGAATAAAACACAAATAATTACAGAGAAGACTCTGAAATACAGTATAACTACAGAATAACCCTGCAGTCTTCCACACCTACAGATACCAACATTCATTATACAAACTACACCCTCTGTGGGATGCGTTTGTTTGTAATACATTAAAGGGTCATTCTCAAAACCATCCCAAAAAAATCTTTCCAATTTTTTTGAGAAAAAAAAAAAATCATAAATCACACAGGCGAAAAACCTTTCACCGATACCTACACAAACGACCCAAATCACTGGGCGACCGAGAATATCAAGCACCCATTATCCCAACGTACTCTGACCTCTCTCCCCACCTGCAGCCGCTTCTCCCTAATTATCTTACCCCATTTACCGATCAAGTTATAATAACTCCCCCTCCACTTAAGCTTCATCACATACAACTCCCCTGTATCGCCATCCTGCGCATTCAACCCCACCTGCCTATCATTCCTCAGCTGCTCCCTCGCCTGGTGGCTCCAGTAGAAGAGAATGTGATCTTCGACTGCTTTTCCAGGCAGAGTCAAGAACGGGTGGTTGATATCCACGTCAGACAGCGTGAGCGCCTTCCTAACGGGCCAGCTGTCACCGCCCGAATCGTTGCAGCCCAAATCCGACGCCGAGAGGTAGAGGCAGCCGTTCATCCACCTCAGCCGAATCTCCTGCCCGACCACGAGCCCCCTCTGGCGGACGATGTTCCCCCACTTACCGACGAGGTTGTAGTAGTTCCCGTGCCACCTCAGCTTCATCTCGTGCGCGTCTCCCGTGTCGTAGTCCCGCGCGTTTACGCACACGTGCTCCTCCTTCCTTAGCCTCTCCCTCTCGTGCGGGGCCCACTGAGCGAGTATGTGGTCCTCGACCGATTTGCGGGGCAGAGGGAGGAAAGGGTGGGTGGGGTCCACGTCGGACGAGGTGAGGACCTTACGGATGGGCCAGTGGTCGTAGATTAGTGGCGGCGGTGGGGCGGCTGGGATCATCCGCAGTGGCGGTGCGGGGACGGGGACAGGTGGTGCCGGTAGAGCGAGTGGGGGAAAAGAAGGAGGAGGAGGAGGAGGGCAGGGCTGGGAGACGGAGAAGTAGAGGCAGGAGTTCAACCAGCGGAGGCGAATCTCCTGGCCAACGTCGAGGCCCTTGCCGCGGACAATCTTTCCCCATTTGCCGATGAGGTTGTAGTAGCTCCCGCGCCACTTGAGTTTCATGGAGTAGGAGTCGCCCGTGTCGTCGTCGTGGGCGTCGAGGCAGGCCTGGCCCTCGGATTGGAGGTGGGACTTCTGCTGGGGGGACATGTGCATTACGATGTGGGTCTCGACCTGCTGACGTGGCAGCGTGAGGAAGGGGTGGGTGATGTCGACGTCGGAGAGAGTGAGGGCTTTACGGATGGGCCAAAGGTCGGGCACCTCCGGCATGGTGTTGAAGTATTTTGTTCTCTTCATTCCCTAAATGATGAGGGATAAATAAGAGAAAAAATGGATAAATCGTAATATTTAGGAACTTTTGCATTGTAAGAAGAATAACTGGGCACGATATGTGGGAAAAGCGGGAGAGGAGTTTACCAAGGAAGTTACTCAGAGCATGCAGCGTCCCAAAGCAATTATGGGACTTGGATTTTCCGGAGCATGCGTAAAATCTATTGCTTCAAAAGGACAAGAGAATGTTTCAATGAACATTGTTGACATTCTTCAAACAAACAAACGACACTGAAAATCCAACAGTAATATATTCTAATGGAAATTTCAACCAATATTCCAATACTATAGACTCCATTGGAATAATTACAACGGAAATATTCCGTTGGAGTGAGTTTTTTATTGAAATTTTAGATGAAATTTGATGATTCCAACAGTATATTACCTTAGGAATTTCCATTGGAATTTTTATTCCCACCCATATTTCAACTTCAACTATTGGATTGGAACATTCAAAATCCAACAGAAACTCCAATAAAAAACTATTCCAATGTAAAAATATATTTTTGATGAATTTTCCATTGGTATCCATTGGAAAATTCCAATAAAAATAATGGCATTGAAAAATCCATTAAAATTGCAATTGAAATTCCATTAAAATATATTTCCGCTGAAATCTCATCATGCTAACCATTTATATATCTATTTGCTTGTGTTTAGGCTTTGAAATACTAGAACCATGTTTCCTAACAGCCAACAAGTCAAGAACCCCATATCAAATTGAAAGAAGTAATTCTAGTCTCTAGTAACATAGATCATGCTAACAAATGTATGAAAAGCATAAACAGTGAGAAACCATCATCAACCACCACATGCTCACAATCCAAACAAGCAGATTGAGACTCTTACTCACTTAAACATGCAAAGAAACAATCTGCTTGTTTCTGTGAAATCCCCCATTCTCATTTCACAGAGATATAGGATAAAAGATCTCTATAAGCCTTCAATTTCATATAAACAAAAAAAAAAACATGATTAGTTCAGAGATAAAACCCACCATAAATCAAAACCCTAACTACTTCAAAATCTATCAGCACACCAAAAATAATACGGCATCCATAGTTCCGGACAACAATTCCTATTCAATTCCATACCCAGTTCTTTGAATATTCATCAGCCACGCAAACACACTGACAGAAATAAAAGATCGAATATTCATCAATCACCTGGAAATATTAAATTTAAATCACGAAACTTCGTGCTTTGCGTAAAATTCTCCAGTTGATCACAAAGGGAAAATACCTAGATCCCCCAAAGCTGAGGCAACAATTTTACCTATCGAAAACTAGAAAAAGAAAAAAGAAATCTAATTTCTAGGAAAAATATGATGACGGTGTCATCGAGAACACACACAAATAATTGTGGAGTTCAAAAGGTTTGTGGTGGGCAAACAAGAAAGAGGACCAGAGAGAAGAAGTGATTATTGAAAAACATATGTAGGACACGGCGGTGGGTGCAGCGGCGGTCTGGTGGTGGTAGAAGACGGGAAGAGTGGTGTTGTAGGTTAATAGGTGGAGAAGCCAAATATGAGAGAGAGATGCATTTACAT